AAAAATGAGAATACAACTTTATCACGTAAATTTATCTTTACTTTTTTCAAAAGATAATTCTGTTAAAGAAAAAAATTTATAAAATTTTCATCAAAATAATTAATTAATCCATTGAATTTTGTTTGCTTTAATATTTGTTTCTATTCACAACAATGAAAAAATTTAAATATTTTCTTTTCACATCTATATTTTAAAACACAGTAGGAGAGCATACTAATGGATAATTATCATGAAATTCTGATGTGCACTCGAGGAATCTGGTTATATGTACCACGAAAAATCGATCAACAAAGGCTCATAACGCGTGACCGAGTTGCGTTCCAAAATCTAGCTGGAACATCCGTTATTCTTTTGTCTTCGATCGATCGATCCTCGTTCCCTTCCGGCGGATGCGCTCAATCTTCTCCATGTTCCTGATCTCATTCTCTTTTTTCAAGCGTTAATTAGAGCAATTAAAAAAGAAAGAAAAAGAAAAGAAGAAAAGTAGAGAAAAAAAAAGAAAGTTAAATATTCTGATTTTTAAGTATACTATTGTATTTATTATAAATTATAATTTATAAGAAACGTTACATGATTAAAAACTGATATAATAATTGTAGAATGAATAGTAGAAGAAAAAATGATCTTGACCCAGACTACAAAATGAATCCACGAGAATAAGAAAAAGGCTTCTTGTTATGAAATCGTCGGAGCTTGACTCGATCATTCTTCCAAGTATTTCCAGTATTAACCTTCCCAGTATCAACCTTGAAAATATTTGTACAAGGTTGAGAACATGAGAATCTCTCTTCTTGAGAAATTTGAATAGTGATGTTAATCACTTTTGTACCTTCGTTTTCTGTAATGAAAATAAAAATAAATTACGGACATTGTAGCATATTAGCATAATTGATATATTTTAGAGATTATTTGGAATTATGGGAATTAATGAAATTATTAAAAGATTTCTTTTATTTATCATTTTTTTATTAAAAAACTAAAGATTATTTTCATTAAAAACATATAAAAGTTCAAATTAAAATTATAAGATTCAATAAATTTTTATTGAAATGAATTTTTATTGAATAAATTTTTTATTTCACAAATTTGATAGTTTCCAGATCTCAAAACAAATTCTCGAATTTCAATTCTTTAATTATTTGTAATCTAAAAATTATTATTAATAAAAATTATCAAAAAAAATTTCAACACTTTTTATAAATTTTTATAATTTTTTAATTATCAATTTCTTCAAATTCTTTTCTTATATTGAAAAATTTGCAAATTTTCTAAATTTTAAATTGAAATAAAAATTCCCTAAAGACTTATTATTGATATATGTATTTACTAAGGATAATGATAGTAAAATAATAGAATTATTGATATCGGCAAGAAATACAGTCTCAGTTTGAGAGAAAATTAGTATCGTAACTTAGACCCTAAGAGAATTAATTGCGCATTACGTGAATGAGAGATTATGCAAGGCTAATCGAGCATTTCTCGATTCTAGGGTATGGTCACATTGCACCGAAGACTAAGAACGGGAAAGTGGTAACCATATTCTATGCCATCGTTGGAATTCCTCTCATGCTACTCTGCCTCTCGAATATAGGCGATATTATGGCCTCGAGTTTCAGGTAAACTTCAAAATGCACGATAACACATCTGATTCTTATATTTTAATATTATTATCTAACTTGTAATTAATTTATTACTATTTTAAAAATAAAAGGGATTAAAATTATTTATTAACTTGTTCAATTAGGAAATTATTTTCGTTTTTTTTTGTTATATATTTATTTCTAATACTTTTAGAAAATTTTTATGATTTTCCAAATTATTGAAATGAATTAAAAATTATCTTTTTTTTTTAGATTTTTATACTGGAGGGTTTGCTGCTACATATGCACCAAACCACCAAAAAAAAGACGACCAAGAAGCCATTTTGTTAGATCGTATTCCATGCGACAACCAGGGTATTTATTTATTTAAACCATCGAAAATAAAATAATAAATAAAATACATGTTTATAATGAATAAAAATTATATATTTCGAAAAGACGATATGGTGGAAGCAAAGGTGGTTTTCGAAGACCCATCAGGGTAAGCCAGATGTCAGTAGATTCGGTTTTGTCTGAAAGTCTAGGAAGATCATCGTATTTTGACATGGATTATAAGTATGATATTATAAGTATTATATTATATTAATATTATTAATTATAATTAATCATCAAAAATAAATATTTAACATATTTAAATATTTTAACATATTTTAACATATTTTAAATATTTTAACATAATATTATTATGTCTATAGATATAATCCTCGTCGATACGAGGCTGGAGAAGAGAGAAGGACGAGTTCTTCTTATCAATTATCTGGAAATCCAAATTTTGGATTTAAATCGGCAACAGTATCCAGATACTCTGATTTTCCAATAACGAAATTGAACAAAGGTATTGAACACGTTTCATGATATATATATATATATAT